ATAATTTACAGTAAAATTGACAAAAAAATTTTACAGGTACATTGTAAGAAATTTTGACACAAAAACAAAGATTAGAATAATACACAATAATAACAATACACTATAATGAACAAGGATGACTTTGGATTTCAAGGATTACAATACACTATAATGAACAAGGATTACTTTACAAGGAGACATTTGCCGATAACAGAGGAGCATCTAATTCTTTAAACAGTCGAAATCCAATCTCCATGTCCATGGTTGAGGATTGTAAGAAAAGACTAAATGATATACAGTTCGTCTGAAAGGTCACAAATTGAAATTCATGCTGATTCCATCTCATGTTTGAATAGTGCTCAACGAGGTGGTGAATGACCCGGCCAAACGCACCACATGAAAACCACAAGTATAGACCTGTATCATTGACAAGTGTAATAGTGAAAGTATTGGAAAAGCTAATCAAAACTAAATGGGTAGAACACCTGGAGAGAAATGATATAATATCAGACAGACAGTATGGTTTTCGATCAGGAAGATCCTGTGTATCGAATTTACTCAGTTTCTATGATCGGGCCACAGAGATTTTACAGGAAAGAGATGGCTGGGTTGACTGCATCTATCTGGACCTAAAAAAGGCTTTCGACAGAGTTCCACATAAGAGGTTGTTCTGGAAACTGGAAAATATTGGAGGGGTGACAGGTAAGCTTCTATCATGGATGAAAAATTTTCTGACTGATAGAAAAATGAGGGCAGTAATCAGAGGCAATGTATCGGAATGGAGAAATGTCACAAGTGGAGTACCACAGGGTTCAGTTCTTGCACCAGTGATGTTTATTGTGTACATAAATGATCTACCAGTTGGTATACAGAATTATATGAACATGTTTGCTGATGATGCTAAGATAATAGGAAGGATAAGAAATTTAGATGATTGTCATGCCCTTCAAGAAGACCTGGACAAAATAAGTATATGGAGCACCACTTGGCAAATGGAATTTAATGTTAATAAATGTCATGTTATGGAATGTGGAATAGGAGAACATAGACCCCACACAACCTACATATTATGTGAGAAATCTTTAAAGAATTCTGATAAAGAAAGAGATCTAGGAGTGGTTCTAGATAGAAAACTATCACCTGAGGACCACATTAAGAATATTGTGCAAGGAGCCTATGCAATGCTTTCTAACTTCAGAATTGCATTTAAATACATGGATGGCGATATACTAAAGAAATTGTTCATGACTTTTGTTAGGCCAAAGCTAGAATATGCAGCTGTTGTGTGGTGCCCATATCTTAAGAAGCACATCAACAAACTGGAAAAGGTGCAAAGACATGCTACTAAGTGGCTCCCAGAACTGAAGGGCAAGAGCTACAAGGAGAGGTTAGAAGCATTAAATATGCCAAAACTAGAAGACAGAAGAAAAAGAGGTGATATGATCACTACGTACAAAATAGTAACAGGAATTGATAAAATCGACAGGGAAGACTTCCTGAGACCTGGAACTTCAAGAACAAGAGGCCATAGATTTAAACTAGCTAAACACAGATGCCGAAGAAATATAAGAAAATTCACCTTCGCAAATAGAGTGGTAGACGGTTGGAACAAGTTAAGTGAGAAGGTGGTGGAGGCCAAGACCGTCAGTAGTTTCAAAGCGTTATATGACAAAGAGTGCTGGGAAGACGGGACACCACGAGCGTAGCTCTCATCCTGTAACTACACTTAGGTAATTACACTTAGGTAATTACAAGTTGATATTGAATGTGTTTTAACAACGAGACAAATAAGAAGCAAAATTATCAATATTCAGGTACAAGCACACGTGTCGAGGAGAGGTATATACTGTATGAAGGAAGTCAAACCATGCAACAACACTACATGTATGCGAGATACAGCAAGCATTTCCTCTCTGGATCGCAAAGCCGAGGCGCTGGAACAGGAAACTGGCCACTCTTGAATCTTTAGTTTGCCTAATGAGTTCCTCATCCACGTCCTTTAGGAACTTAAGTGAACATTTACCCCAGGTGGGTCTGTCTAATTACCCAAAGCTAGCCAAACTTACTCAAAGCTACACAAAGCATCCTAGCATTATGTTAGTAATAAATAAATATGATATATTTATTCATTATAATGTTGGTGGTGAATGTAGAACATGAAAAACATGTTTTTACTCTGAAAAAGTATAATTTTATAACAAAATTAGACGAAAAAAAAACACTGGTGACGCCAAAGCAAGGAGACGGTCCAAGCTTGCACAACTTGTACAACTAGAAGATGAGCTTTGTCCTACCCAGAACCTACCTCCAGGAATGCTGTGGCAATGGTCTCCACCATGGGGCTATCCCTTTTGGCCTGTTTGCAGTCGTTTGGAAAAGTTGGTCGAGATTGAAAGTTGGCAAGATTGTCCCACTGTCCGGCTCTGTTAGTGAGTTTGGGATCATAAATCCCAATGGACTCTCGTTGTACTGAACAGGGTGAACACGTTGTACTGAACAGGATGAGAATCACTTGAGTTACCTCATTCCTTTGTGTGTACAGTATTTATACAGTACAGTGGAACCTCGAGTGATGAGCGGCTCCAGTTATGAGCATTTCGAGTAACGAGCAAATCACTCGCAGAAAATGTCTCGACTAACGAGCTTTCACATACTTCAATAACTTATTTCAAATTCAAAGAAGTTATAATTGACGATAAAAGGGCAGCTAACACAAAATTAATATGAATGAAATCATTGGTGTTCACACTAAAGAGTTTATAGAACATCCTAGTATCCACACAAATGTTTGAAGTAGGTGAAGAATTCAAATTCAAATTCAAATTTGAATTTTTTAATATTGAATTTGAATGTTTGAAGTAGGTGAAGAATATTAATTAAGGGATATCCCCATAACATGCGATATAATCAAATGACAAAGTGAAAGGGTCAAAAGTCCCGGGTGTGGACGGAATTCATTTCAAATTCGTTATGGAACTGACAGATGAACTATGTCTACCACAGTTCTTCTTTTCAGAAAATCACTGGACCAAGAGATGGACCTTATATACACAGAGAAATCACATTAACGTGATACAGTACTGTATATCAATAAAAAAAATCCACAGAAGCCGTGATGAGGATTCGAACCTATGCGCTGGGTTTTCCCAGGCAACGCTCTAGTCGACTATATGCCATATGCCACGACATGGTAAAAGAATCACTTTTACCATGTCGTGAAGTACAGTAGTCGACTAGAATGTTGCCTGGGAACACCCAGAGCTTAGGTTCAAGCCCTCATCATGGCTCGTGTGGATTTGTTCCTAGTTCCCTTATATTAGAAATATGGAAATGTTACCCCCTATTTAAAAAAAGCAAAAAGTGCTCAGCAGAAAACTACTGTCCTGTCAATTTCTCCAAGCATATCTGCAAGCTCATGGAAAGAATCCTAAAGGAGGAAATAATTTACTGTCTCATTGTGCATAATTTAGTAAAATCAAGACACATGGTTTTCTTAAAAATAGATCCTGCCTTACCAACCTGCTCATATATTTGGAAACAGGAACCAGCTATTCAAAGGACTTCCAGTAGATGTGCTATGCATGAACTTCACTAAAGCTTTTGATAATTACCACATGAAAGATTGGCAAGGAAAGTACAAGCACACAGAATATACGGTAGAATACTAGAATGGTTAAAACAAAAGAAGCAAAAGGTCGTCCTAAATGGAAATGAATCTGACTGGAGAAATGTTGAGTCCATTTTGGGGTCAACTCTTAAAATAAAATAAAATATAATGTTTATTCTGGTAAAAGTACTGTACATACAAGATGAGTTACAAACAGAATGTTGGAGTTCTAGATAGAGCTAGTACATACTATGCCTAAAGCCACTAATACACACAGCATTTATGGCAAGATGTAGGGCTAAAAACACTTACAACTAAAACTTAAAACTAATTGAGGTCAAAGCATAAATTGAATTGAAAAAGGGGAAAAAATGAAAAAGAGTGATAATAATTACATGATGGATGGAACAGCAGAAATTGAAACATAACAGCAGAAATAATTTTAACTAAATAAACAGACAACAATTTTCTTCATGGCAGATATCAGTAGTTAAACAAGTTGGTCAATAATTAATATTGTTAGAAAATAGCAAGACAATTTTTTTTTTGTCATATACATTAAGGAGAATATTACAAACCACATCATCAAATTTGCTTATACAGGTAACACTAAGATTTGTGAAGTAGGAAGTTACAATATCTAATGAGGCCCAATAAAGGTTGAGAGGAGTACTGATTTGAATTTCATTTGGGAAATCATTTCATAATTTGGGACCCTTAATTAGCATTGCATTTCTGCTTCGGTTGAATTGCACTCTAGGATTATCAAATCGGTATTTGTTTCTCATGTAATGCCCTGGATTAGGATTAGTATTGCCGTTCAGAGTTGTATAGATACTGTATAGTATACATACTAAAGTATACTTTCCCTGAATATCTTTTTTATAGTAGCTGTATAGTACGTGTATTCTTATATATACTCTGCCTCATTATGTAAACCTACCTTTTTTTGAACATCACTTTCATTTAGTTATTTAGTTATTTATATACAAGAAGGCAAATACTGTTGTGAAAGTACATACAGTATACTGTACTGTATTGGTGATTGAGTGATACATTCCCGCAAAGCCACCAACACACACAGTGTACAGTAAATAGCACAATTTAAATTTTTCCTTTTTTTTTTTTGCTCTTTTGTATATGGCAATTCAAATTCAAAGTCAATGGAATAATGACTTGCAAAGGTCTGGTGTGGATTGAATTAGGTCAAGCTGTTCAGGTAGCTAACAACAAGAAGCCACCGAGGGCCCACCAGAAGATGTTTCATTACATTCAACGATGGCTTTTTATTTATTTTTTATTAAGCTAATGTTTATTATCATTTCCGTGTCCCTTTCTCCTAGTCAATCTCATTTGGTTAATACAGGGTATAGCCTCACCTGTGTTCTGTTTTTGTTTTCAGTCACCCTCCTTCAAGTTCTCCCGGAAGGCATCTTCATCGTATTCCTTGAAGTTGGAGCCTGTGAGAGGTGGCGGGGGTAAGACCAAGGGCCGCAGGAAGCCTGTCTCAACCCCAGCATCCCCCAGCCGCACCAGAGAACCTCAGTGCACCTGCATGACAGCCGAGCAGTATGCGAGACTGCGTGCACAGGACCCTAGATATAGAGGTAAGCACAATGCTGCCTTTCTCCAGTAGAGACTTACTAATACATTATTAATAAAAATTGGAAGGTTAAAAAACACTTTTTAAATGAACATTAAAATTCTGAAGTGTGCAGTGAGACACGCAAAGGCTTTGTTATTCCCCTGGATTTATGAACAACAAAATTTAGCGCGTTGTCTTTGATAGCGTGTGCAGAAACATCAACTTATTTCTTTTGTGGCCAAGTCATCAAGTGCAACTATCAGAAATCGTACAAAATCCCCTTGAAAGATGTCAACTAAATTTTTACAAGTGTCCCATTAACCTAATAACACTTCGAGATGAATCCATTTACAGCAAGAACTGTAACATACCCCCATACAGTTGATCTCTTCAAGCATTCTCCATCCATATGCTTCTAAACACGGGCTCTGTTCAGTCATTTATTTTGTTAATTTTAAGGCTTTTGCCAACACTCTGATTTTATTTCCCCTGCCATCAGTAAAGATTCTACGCAATTGTTTTGAAATGCGCATTATATATTACTGCCGAATAATTACTTATGCCAGACTCATCGATAAAGGCCGTCTCCCACTCGTTTATATGTCAGCCAGCCTAAGAACTTAACTTTTCCACAAAAACAGTGAACAGAGTTAAAGCTTGGGTTCTTACCTTAGTGAGACAAGGTAATGGCTTGTATGTTTAGCTGTAACATAATGAAACCTTTGTGTGCAGTTACTGCAGTCTTTAGTCATTTTGATGTTAAGTGTTTAACCCAGTTATTCTTGCCATAATCACCTTCAGTGTATTGTATTACAAATCATACTGTCATAATTTTGGAGGCTCTCAGGTGAATACCCCATTGCTAACTAATAGGTAAAATGCTAACTTTTTGGAGGGTAAAATATTTTATGTTTTCTCACGAGTAGAGAGCTTGGATAACTTATATATAATGTTTTCTCCTGAATAGTCGACTGTGGTACTGATTCTTGCTCCGATGTTAGCCCAGGTTTGACTCCCTGATGATAGTTCAGGTCCGACCTTACTGATGATAGCCCAGGTCCGACCCTACTGATGATAGCCTAGGTCCAACCCTACTGATGATAGCCCAGGTCCAACCTTACTGATGATAGCCCAGGTCCAACCTTACTGATGATAGCCCAGGTCCAACCTTACTGACGATAGCCCAGGTCCAACCCTACTGATGATAGCCCAGGTCCAACCTTACTGATGATATCCCAGGTCCAACCCTACTGATGATAGCCCAGGTCCAACCTTACTGATGATAGCCCAGGTCCAACCTTACTGATGATAGCCCAGGTCCAACCTTACTGACGATAGCCCAGGTCCAACCCTACTGATGATAGCCCAGGTCCGACCTTACTGATGATAGCCCAGGTCCAACCTTACTGATGATATCCCAGGTCCAATCCTACTGATGATAGGCCCAGGTCCGATCCTACTGATGATAGGCCCAGGTCCAACCTTACTGATGATATCCCAGGTCCGATCCTACTGATGATAGCCCAGATCCAACCTTACTGATGATAGCCCAGGTCCAACCCTCGTGATGATAGCCCAGGTCCGACCCTACTGATGATAGCCCAGGTCTGACCCTCTTGATGATACCCCAGGTCCAACCTTACTGATGATAGCCCAGGTCCGACCCTACTGATGATAGCCCAGGTCCGACCCTACTGATGATAGCCTAGGTCCAACCTTACTGATGATAGCCCAAGTCCAACCTTACTGATGATAGCCTAGGTCCGACCTTACTGATGATAGCCCAGGTCCAACCTTACTGATGATAGCCCAGGTCCAACCTTACTGATGATAGCCCAGGTCCAACCTTACTGATGATAGCCCAGGTCCAACCTTACTGATGATAGCCCAGGTCCGACCTTACTGATGATAGCCTAGGTCCGACCCCTCGTGATGATAGCCTAGGTCCAACCCTCTTGATGATAGCTCAGGTGGTAGCCTGCTTGGTGTTAGTCCAGGCGGTGTTAGCCCAGGTACTGAGCCTCTGATATTATGACTATGATCCTCTGTTTTGCACTTTTAATGTCACTTTATTCACTTGGATCGTCTTGATTTTTTTTTTTTATCACTGTTTCAGTTCCGGTCACACATTGTAGTTTGTAATATCCCTTTGCACATTCATGTAAATCTATGTACAATTACTGTTTGCCTATTTTCTGCTTGATCAGAAATTTTAGATATTGTTCAGTATATCAATTTAGTGATAAAAAAAGGCTTTGTGTAAATTATATTTTTCACAGCTTTTTTTTTTATTTGATTTGAATCTTAATATTTATTTCAAAGTTGGCTAATTGAAATTTTTCTGACAAAATTTAACTGGTTTTTCTCACTGCCATAAATAACAATGCTTGCTTTCCTGTTCTGCCTTATGGTACATATTTTGAGCCATAAGCTTCTCGTCTTTTCGGTATCTTTGGATAAAATAATATTTTCCTTACAGAAGACAGTGGACAAGTTGAAAAAAGCTTTTTATGCAAGTGCAAACATAACTCATGTGAGATCATAAACTCGGAAATGTTTGAAAATGGCACTATATCAGAAAATGACATTATAGAAAATGGGTACCAGCAAGTGCACCACAACGCCATCTCTCGGACAGCCTCCGACTCACCGCCAGAAGTTTATGATAATCTCCAGTTTGAAAAAAGTTTGTTTGCTGTTTATTAGCTTTTTATCTAACACAAAACGGGTGGTGGATTTCTACTAACAAATTCTTATTTTGAGCGTATGTTATTTTACCCATAATCTCATTTATGGTACACTATAGTAATTGATATTATCAATTTAGTTTTATCCTGTCCCCATAATCTAAGCATGAGTCTCCTCATCTAGTTATATATACATATATGTACTGGTATTTACATACATATATACAGTACGACCCTCGAAAATCTGTACTTTGTTGACCCGTACCCCTTTCCAAAATTTTTCGTTTCTCAGATTGCATAATTTTTTTGTTTACACATTAAGCATAGTTAGACACCATACATTATTTACACATTCATTACACAAATATAGTTAATATTAATTAAAACATAACTTTGTATTTATCTATTTGAAGACTTTATTCTTTGAACTGATCAAAGTACAGTAATTGAGATTTGAGTTTTTTTTTTTTCATTGGCCACCTCTCTCACTTTTTTCCTTTGCCTCTCTCTCCTGGCAATAATCTTTTAAAATCTTTATTTTTATGTTACAGTATTTTTATTTCAGAAACAGTGCCATGATCACTTTTCTACATCAATTTAATATTTATATTCATATTAAGACCTTTTACTATCTGGTCTAACCAGACTTTTCTTGCTGGATGACATTTTTTATACTCAGTTCAATATCAAGTGATACATTGCACAAGTAGCACATGAAATTATCACAGGACCTAGACGCGTCCATCACTACTGTCCTCTGGTGGCTCCTAACTTCCAACCTTGATCACTTCAACCATCAGTTTAACCGTTTCATCATGTTATTATCCGTCTTCCTTCTTCTATCTAGTCTAGCCAGACTTCTCTTGCTGGCTGACATAATTTGTACTTGCAAATTAAGCAACATCAATACAAACGTCAATGAAAATCCCTTACGGAACAAAAGGTCAGCCACACCAATACAGAATAAAGTGCACATAGCCAGGAAAGGGCCCACACTGTCCTGGTTACTGTAGTAGGACTAGACCTACCACATAAAAAAGTAACATTCTACTAGCTGTATTGTATTCCTTTAAGACAAGCACGCGCAACACACGTTCACACACGAACTGGAGAAATGTCACAAGTGGAGTACCACAGGGTTCAGTTCTTGCACCAGTAATGTTCATTATCTACCTAAACGATTTACCAGATGAAATACAGAATTATTGAATTGTCAGAAAACCAAGCACTAAGAATTCCTGAAAACAACATAGAGCACATAAAGGTGTCTAGAGACAAAGTGGAAAAATGCCCAAGGAGCTAAGTAGAAACAAAATAGTTGGTCCAGATGGAGTTTCACCGTGGGTTTTGAGTTCAGCATTCCACTTCTATTGATTTTTCAGTCATTTATGTGTTGAGGAGTCTTGGCAGATATATGGAAAAAGGCTAACCTAGTTCCAGTTTACAAAAGTGGCAGCAGGGAAGACCCCCTTTTAATTATAGACCTGTATTATTGACAAGTGTAGTAATCAAAATACTGTATTGGAAAATAATTAAAATCAAATGGGTATAACATCTGGAGAAAAATTATATAACAAACAGTATGATTTTGAATTTGAGAAGCTCCTGTGTAACATATCTACTTAGTTTCTATGATAGAACCACAGAGATTTGACAGGAAAGAGATGGTTGAGTTGGCTCTTTTTATCCGAACCTAACAAAAAGGCTTTCGACAGAGTCCCACATAAGAGGTTGTTCTGGAAACTAGAACATACTGGAGAAATGATAGAGAGGCTTCTAACATGGACGAAAATTTTTCAAACCATCATAAAAATGAGGGCAGTAATATTAGACAATGTATCAGACAGGAGAAATGTCACGAATGGAGTATCACAAGGTTCAGTTCTTGCACTGGTAATCTAGCTATGAAAGAAAACTTGCTCAAAACATCAAGAAAGATCACATTTTTTTATGCCTATATAAGAAGTAAAACAAAGACAAAAGACTTGGTAGGACCCTTAAAGATTTAGAACAACCAATTATTTTTTACGACATCTGAATGAATACTTTACATCAGTGTTCACACTAGAAAGATTAGACAACATCCCAATACCTACATAAATATTGAAAGCAGGTGAAGAGAATGAACTAAAGGATATTCATTTTACTTGCAAAAAAATCAGGAAGAGCATTGACTAATTAAAAAGATCTGAAGCCCCAGGTGTGGCTGGAATTCAATCCAAACTCGTAAGGAAACTGGCTGAAGAATTGTCTGTCACTGAAATTTCTATTCAGGAAATATCTGGACCAAGGGCAAGTCTAGTTAGATTGGAAATATGCAAATGTCACTCCATCTCTAAAAAAAGACAGAAAGAGCTCAGCAGAAAAGCACCAACCAATCAGCTTAACCTCTCATATCTTCAAGCTCATCGAGGGAATCGTTCGCCGTCTCACAATGCACAATCTAGTAAAATCGACACAATGAAGTTTTGTTAAAAATAAATCTTGTGTTCCTAATCTGCTCATGCTCTTAGACATGGTAACCAGCTATTTCAGACAGAGGACTTCCAGTAGACCTAGTATATATGAATTTCTATAAAGCTTTTGATCAGGTTCCGCAAAAAAGTCTGGCTAGAAAATTACAAACCCAGAGAATAAATGGTAGAGTACTATAATGGATACCAAAAAACATATGGGTTGTTTTAATTGGACATAAATCTGGCTTAAGAAATGTGGTGAATGGAGTACAGCAGCCCTTTTTGTCAAATTTCTCAGTGACATAGCTGAGATCTGTGGTCAAAGATTATGCACATCATCAAATTTGCATGACTCTAAGATTCTGAGGTAAAGTAGGAAGGTAAAGGGATATTGAGGTCTCACAAAGAGATCTATATGAACTCCAGAAATGGCCAGAAGACTAGCAAATGTTTTTTAATGTTGAAAAATATAAGACCTTGCATGTGGGACATAACAATGCACATCACAACTATTAATCTACGACACTGAACATAGGAGGGACTACCTTGCAAAAGATTGATGAAGAGAAGCACCTATGAGTTAGGATCCACAACACGTGGATGCTGCAATCAAAAACCTTTGGAATAGTAAAATGAACCTTTGACTTTTAGGAAAAGAAAAATGGTTATTCAACTGTACAAGTCTCTGATGCACCCCCCCATCTGGACTACACTATCCAAGCATGGAGACCTCACCTTAAAAAAACATATCAGCTTTGGAGAACGTCCAACACAGATCCAAATCATCCCAGATCTAAGTCAACCAGGAGTAGTTGATAGCCATAGGACTAGCAACAGCAAATCTGACATGATAGGGCTTATCTCATCGAGACCTTAAACCCCTACCGCACAGCTATGGATTTAAACGTGTCCTTCTATGTATACAAAAAATCCTTCTAGAATGATTTATTTGGATGCAAAATGTGCAGAAAATTAGAAATAAACTGAATGTCTACATTGTGGCCAGTTTTGTGCACTGAACAAGTTGAGCATGGGGCAGCGAGCCCCATCTCCAGTCTGTCAATGCCAGACCTTATGTTAGTTATTCACAATGGCTGATCCAGATGACTCTGGGTTGACCTTGGATGTCGAGATAATCTCTTCACACTGATATGTATGTATGTATGTATGTATGTATGTATGTATGTATGTATGTATGTATGTATGTATGTATGTATGTATGTATGTATTAATAAGAACATAAATCTAACATTCTAGAAATCCATTAATCCATCTAGAAATCCAGCATTCTGTTTGTAACATGTATGTACAGCATGTACCTGAATAAACATTATTATTATTATTATAAAAACTAATGAAATTGCATAAGGCCTATTGGCTCCATATAACGTAGCTCATGTTGATATACTGTACTCCCAAACTCATTCATATATGGGCCTAATATGAGGCAGCTCCTATTTATATTATTATAACAGGAAGCCGCCGGCTTTCTGTCCTCGTCGAGGTCACTTGTGTTAGTGGCCCTCAGGTAAATTTAGGTAAATATTGTGGATATAAATAGGAGCTGTCTCATAGCCCATTCTAGAGAGCTTCTATTTATATCATGGATATAAGTTGGTGTTGTCTTATATGAGCCAATATGCCTATACTGGTACTGTACCTCAGCTTACAAATTTAACCCGTTCCCAGAAACGGTTCGTAAGCTAAAAATTCGTAAACTGAAGCGAATTTTCCCATAAGAAATAATAGAAATTAAATTAATCCGTTCCGGACTCCCCAAAAAATTAACTTCAAAGTAAATTTTATACCTAATTCACCCAGATCTTTAGTACTAATGTATGTACAAGTTTTTACTTAACTTTATTGATGACTTTTGTTGGCATATGGAAGACGGTGAGGAGGAGGAGAGGAGGAGAGGTGTTACTGTTTGAAAGGGGAAGTCTCCTTCCATTATAACATCAGGCAATGATGACTTCTCTGAGGTACACTCTCTGTCACGTTTTGCCTGCATACCACTAGGACCTGCTTGTGGCTCACTGCAAATTTTTCTCACTAAAAACCTGTCTAGCAACACTTGTTTTTCCCTACATTGCAACACTTGTCTCACATGAGACATCATATTGTCATTAAGAAGGTTAACACAATGGCCTGCTACAGCTTGATTTGGGTGACACTTCTCAGCAAAACTTTGAAATTCTTCTCATATTGCACACATTTTCTTAATAAATGAGGGAGAGACATCTTCTACTCTACATCAACAACCCTCATACCATTTCCATGTTTACGAATGATCTCTTGTTTTTCCTTTATGGTCATTCTCACATGTGTTTTCTTGGCTTGAATCTTACCATGCACTGGCTTTCTTGGGACCCATGGCGAGATATGTAATAACAAATCTTATGTTCAAAGAGCCAAAAATCAGAAAAAAATGTAATTACAAAGAATTCAGGCGCAATAGTCACTAGGCGGGAGGCACTGGTAAACTGAGGTGCGATTGCAGTGCCACCACGCGTTATGTCGGCCTATACGCGTATCAACAAACTCATTTCCCGAGACAAAGTGCGTAACCCGATTTGAATTTTCCGAAGAAATTGGGCTCATAACCCGAAAAGTTCGTAAATAGGGGCATTGGTAATCCGAGGTGTCACTGTATATGAATGAGTTTTGGGTGGATGTAAAAAGGAACTGTTTTGTATGGCCCAGTAGACCTGCAGTTCCTTTATTATGTACAAATGAGGATTGGTTGAGCCAGTATACTTCACTACAACTGTATATAGTTGTGAAAACAAAATACAAAAAATACAAAATACAAAACCATAATCATTGTGATTATGAAAACCATTGTGAACATAATCAGTATATTGCTTATGAAATTATAATGTAATTTAATACCATGACAGTTATCACATTGGCATACAGTAGTAACATTTGTGAAATAAGTACATTTGCATAGTAAGGTAATTATGAAATGATAGCAGGATCTTTTTTCATTAACATATACTCAAGTCAATTCAAAATTCAGTTGGAAAACCCTCCAAAACCATTGGGGGCGGACCTTTTACAATCCACCAGCTTACCGTTCCCATCAAGGTTACTAGAGAGATAGTGGCCCTCAGGTAGATTCAGGTAATTCAGATAAAATTGTCCATGATTGAATATGCTGTTGTTCAGGAATAGTACAGTATATGTAAAATTAAAAATGTGAGTACACACATGTTATCTGCCTACAGTATTTAGTTCCCACCAATGGCATTTCATCGTATTTTATCAGCATAACATAATTAGCAGGAGAGTACAGATTACAGTGTGATAAATAATGCAGTTTATGATGAGTACCTGATCCATCATGAATTTGTTTCACAAAAATAATCAATACAGTATTAGAATTTCTATATGCAAATTTTTTTCATTAGAAAAGCAAAATACTGTATGAAGGAAACTAGGACTGATTGCCTGATCTCATCAGAACTCTTTGTCTGCTGTACAACATTAGAAGAGACTAATGAAAGGTTACTAGAATGGACATTACATTCAATACCCACAAAATATATTAACCAAAAATAACTAGCATGAGTCTCTAGGCAGTGAGACATAGCACAAATTTTAAGAAAATGTTGCGCGATTAATCATGTATATTATGGTTTATATTATGCTTCCCTTCGTTTCTAGACTATTAGGCAACACTCTTAGAATGACATACCTAGTTCCCAGAGATTTGGCCATGGGTGTCCAGAGAGTTACATATGAGGGGAGGGAGGGGGGGGGGGGATGTCTTAGAAAATTCAACAGGTTTCGCAGTGTATGGTTGCTAATTTCTCTGGAGGAAAGGGAGTTATCAGGAGAGAGCGTCAAGCCATTATGATGATATAGCACTTGGAAGGGATCAGGATAATGATTTTGGATAGGACGGGGAAAGGAATGGTGCTCTGCCACTTGGACAGTTGAGGATTGAATGCCAACCTGCATGAGGCAAGACCGTCGCTCTACCGTCCGGCCCTAGTAGTTGGGTTAATTTCTCTGTAACCACAGAGCATTGAAATCTGATATTACTAAACATGGTAATAGGGCTGTGTTCACCAGAACCCATGTTCGGTCACTCATTCCTCATTCCTTATGAACCACTAACTATTGAGGTCTGATATTAACATGTAAGGTAGCATGGAGAGTTTGACTTGCATCAGTTGCATTTTCAATTGAGTTGAAGATACAGTACATGGTTTTGGTGTCAGGCCAGAAACAGCCAATTTCAGTACTATTCTCCAGACACCATTTATTACCCATAATGCACATGTCTAGGTGACTACTGTATCATCCCCAGGAAGCAACTCCACAACAGTTGACTATCTCCTGGTTACCTATTTACTGCTAAAGTGAACAGAGACATTAGGCAGAAGGAAACATGCCGAACCATTTCCGTCCTGCCCGGGATTTGAACCTGGGGTTCCCGATTTTGAGTTGCGAAGGAACTGAACTGACGCTAAAAAAAAAATAACTTCTTTGGATTTCATAATCACTGAATCGTTGAAAATTAGCATTATAACATTGATTTTGTTTCTTTTAGATATCTCTCATGCATTAGTATGGTTTCCTTGGAGTATATTCGTAGATATTATGTCAATTATGTGGTTTTGTTCTATGCTCTAGTTCAGACACTAGGTTTTTGTTGGTGCTGACGTCCAGAGACTGGCAACCCTACAGAGAGGGGCAATTTTATCCTAAGACCCATTGAAGGGACTAATTACCATGACATGGGCATTATTCTAATAATACCTTACACTTTCACAATCTATAGTGTTTTGCAATATATATAGTACTGCAGTTTAGAATCAACAACATGCGTCAAATAGAAATTAACAGAGTAATTTACAATGCATTGATATTCTCTCATCATTCTCTGCATTCATTGATAAGTGATACTGATTTCTATAACTGGTCGCCGGTCTTATCCAAAACAGCTCACTGCAATTACTCGATTCCTGAAAATACTCTGCTTGACTTTCATTCTTCACTTTTTTGTTTTTGTATTGTCTGCTGCTCCACCTTGTACACTCTAAACACATGCACATATTTTCACTATTCTTTCTTGTAGTGTTTAGTCCATATGGACATATCATCTCATAAGACTTTGTTCGTTCCATTTAGGGCATATCTTTTCTGTCTGGGCATAACTTACCAATGTCTAAGCATACTTTATCAAATGTAAGGGCATACCCTATCAAATGTTTTGGGTATATCTTGCCAAATATCTGGGCATACAGACATTATTAAATGCCTGGGCATACTTTTATCAAATGTCTGGGTATACCTTATCAAATGTCTTGGCATTCTTTATCAAATGTCTAAGCATACCTTGTCAAATATCTTTTGTCTACTCACTTCTACAATGACTGCCGCACCCACATAATCGTCTCATTTCTTCAATCCAAAGTATATATATTTTCTTGGTACTAACTCTAATTATAAAATTTCCAATTGTATAGCATTAGTTTATATTTTTGTTGTAAAAAGAGGCTAGAACTTCAGTTCCATACATCATTATTTGGGATTAACTCCCTAGAATTTTGAATATCTCTCACATACCACACATGGTGTCTTTCCTTCACTGCATAGATACCAAGCCAGTATGGTCTTGACGTCTAGATCTGTAATTATTTATTGGTGCGTGGTGGGAGGAGCATTCCAATACCTGATTCACTCCTGTCAGATGCCTGTTATTTGGTAAATGATTCCTGACCCCCTTGTACTTCTCTACCCTACCTGGTTCTAAAACTATCTGTAGAGTCAGATGCTAATACTCTTCATGTTTCAGCCATTAGCGCGCACTCTGCACACAAAATAAATATATCTTTGCTTCCCCTGACTCTCCTCGTTCTGTTATTTACTCTCGACAACCTTCTATGTGCACACTTGGACACAACACAGTACTCGTCATTCTGTGAAGATTCTCTTCTGAGTCAACCAACAAAATTCTCATTTACTTAAAATGACTGGATATCTCATAAAATAAATTAATAAGAAAAGGCAATACGTTCATGATAAAGAAAAGCAGTTCAGTTATTGGGCTAACTGTACAGTATTTAAAAAGGATCCAAAATTCGTTTTTACCGTTTTAGTTGCCTTTACTTAGTATAGTGGGTTTATTTAGTGTCATCTCCAAAGCCATTTAAGAAATTTCTTATAAATCACCAAAAAGAATGTAAAAATCATTTAAATCACCAAAGCAATTATAAAATACTCCATTTAAATTATCAAAGCCATTTAAAACACTTCATTTAAAATCTGTATATTACGTTGTTCAGCACTGTCATTAAAGTTTAGTGTAGTGTTATGAAATTCGTGACGAGGAGGAGTCGCAACAGCTATTCACTTGGTCATAGACACTGAGCGCAGCTGCCCTATTTTTTATATATAGTGGATCAGGTGGGACAGTGTGTTTTTATTATGTCACTATTTTGTTACTCATAATTTGATTCACGAAGTACTGGTTACTGATTGTTACTTTTGTTACTTAGGATAAAGTCAGCAAGGCTTTGAAGCAAAAGGCTGGCCTTTGGTAAGCCTTTTAATTTGAAAAGGTGAAATATACACCTGCAAATATTAGTGTGACTCTTGAATATGATAAATCATTTGTAGATTTTCAGATTGAAGGTAGGTACTCAATTATCTATCATTCTTGAATTATCAAAGAAGTTAGTTCTTTTATTCCCATAATGGGATGCTCTGATCTAAGTCTGTGTATGGCCGCAGGTGCTTCGACTTTGCCGCGTACGCAGGGAGGCCGCGGGGTGGTTGAGGGCCCTGCCAGCCGCACAGCCAACCATGGTGCAGCACATACCACAGCCACCAGTACCAACACCACTCAAGCGGCCATGTGTGATACTATGGCCTCACGCCGTGGAGGTGATGGGTATGCCACTATGAAGCTTGGTGGCAACCGTGATCCACGCCAGCCACCCTCACATCATGCCTCACATGCCTCCTTACACCATAAAAGTGGCACAGGAGTTGGAACACTCACTCGAAAAGAAGAAGCATCTGCTGCAGCTGCTGCTGCTGCTGCTGCTGCTGTTTCTGCTGCCAATGAACGAAGTGGTGAAACACCGACATCAGGCAACCGCGACAACCGCAGTCTACGTGGCAGCCGAAGGGAACTCTCCTCCAAGAGTGTCGACTACTCAGAGATGGACACAGTGCGAGAGACGGATACTCTGCGGCGACGTGCCCGTAGCAAGAGCACCGACGACGTGACTAAAGGTGACCGAGATGACACCACCCTCCACCTCGATAGCAATACACTTAAGAAAATGTTGAAGCCCATGACATCAGTGGAGTCACCCGCTACCTCCCCAGAGTCATGGCGCCGTCGAATCAGCCATGGGGATGGGGGGCTAGATGCCTCAATATGGGGATCCCTAAGTAGGGGGGGCTCCACTGTCTCACATGCTGATGGTTTCAATTCTGAACCGGAAGCACCCCGCCCACACCGCCTCACACCCTCCAGGTCGGCCATGAGCGTGCTGGGCGGGGACGGAGGCAGCGGGGGCCGCAGGGGCCGTGGGTTTCACCTGGACCTGGGTGAGCGTGAGTCACCGCCCTCCGATCACCAGCTGTTCGACTTGGCCTGCTACGCCACCACGCCCTCCTCAAGTAGGCCGGCCCGCCGCGCCCACTTCGTACCTAACACCTCGTCACAGTGGTCCTGCATGGTGGGCGTGGTGCCGCCTGGCCCCGTCCCCGGGCCCTGCTGCCCCCGCACTGGCCACCTCCAACTTGTCTAGCCACACTCACCAGCTGCTCCTTGAGGGCTGCCAGGTTCCAAGTTGACCAGGGCCTCCGCCGGCCAGTAACCACGGAGTCGGTTCCACAACCATGGCCACTCAGCTCCCTCCCATGTGTTCAACATTGCTCCTCTTGCCCCAGTGCCATAGGTGCACGACTCCGTGGTTTACGGGGGGCATGTGGCCCTTGGCCCCCTGCTGGGACCTTCTTAAACTTTCACTCACAGGGGCCATCAGCTGGACATTTGCTTTATCCTTCCTCTAGGATGACTTTACTTTGAACATCAGTTTTCAATATTTTTACTTTCTAGACTGGCCAAACATTTCATTCTAAAACACTAAGACGAGGTGTTAGATTTTTCATTCAAATGACGTTTGCATGACTGCATAGATTTGTTTTAATTGCATGTTCTTTGCATGGTATATATTTTATTTCTTCCTTATTTGGTGCACAGTTGAGGTAGTTTCCAGTATGATTCATTGTTAATTATAGTTTTTTATCTACAGTATACAGCATATTTATACATATACAGTATTAGTTATTCATTAATATATAATTCAATGAGCATTGAGGATTATTTTTTGCCATCTATGCAGTTTCTCTGAACAAGGAGCTAGCTTCAGTGTGAGAAATTTACATTAGACACATTCACCTATTTTCCTTTTAATTGCTTACATTGAAAGGAATGGAATATAAATGTTGCATCATGATATTCACAAAGTTTTGTTTACATATTTTTTCTTCTAAGATGAAGCAGTATGAAGTGTGATGTGAAGTGTGACAAAACTGCTGCCACAGACTAATGTAGGAGATATTCAAATACAATCTAAGCTAAGCAAAGCAGTGGTGGAATTGGCAACGTATTATTATGATTTGTTTTCTTCTAAAAGCTAATCAACTATTAAAAAACTTCTCAGCTTGGTATCATCTTTTGATAATTACTTAGTAGTAGGCATCCATCAGTCTCAGGAGACTATGGAGTTGTGCTCTGGTTGTCAACCAGAGTGCAATTTACTAATTGCGCTCTAACTCTAATTCTTACTTACTAATTCTAAAAATAGAATAATTTTTTGGGATATAACTATAGGACAGTAAAAATAAGTTAGGTGAGAGTAGTGAAATTATTGGAGAAGCCCCAAACTGCAAGTGATACAATACACCACACACAGAGATTGTAAAAGAGGTTGTGTAAAAGCCTGGTTTGTGCCTCGGAGAGGCTACGGGATCCAGTAAGTTCAGTAGAACTTCGGTTTCAACCCTTTTAACCCTGTCGTAGCTCAGTCGATTAAGGCAGTGTCTGGGATGCTCCCGGACGTAGGTTCGAATCCTCATCTCGGCCCTTGTGGATTTGATACAATACACACTAAAGTTAAGAATGACTGCTACAGTACTGTTGATTGGGGAGTTGCTGCTTGCATGAAAACACAGACATAGGTGCCCCAGTGGATAAAGAAGTATCTAAGCAATAGGAAACAGCGAGTAACTGTGCGGGGGGAGGGGGGGGGGGGAAACGTCGGAGTGGCGAAATATCACCAGGGAGTCATACAGGGCTCTGTATTTTGACCCATCTTGTTTCTGATATTTATTTATTTATTTATTTATTTATATAAAAGAAGGTACATTGGTAACAGAGAACATAGAAATTAAGTTGATTTAACATTCTTGTAAAGTCACTAGCATGCATAGCGTTTTGGGCAAGTCCTTAAACTAACAGATAACTTTTTGATAATTCACAGTAAATTAACAAAAAATGTTTACAGGTACTTTACAGCTTTACTTTACAGGTACAGGTAATTTTAAGTAGAATAATTACAGTAAAATTGACAAAAAATGTTTACAGTTACATTGCAAGAAATTTTGACACAAAAGCAGAATAGAATAATACACAATAATAACAATACACAATAATGAACAAGGATTACTAGGTACATTGGGATAACATTTCATGGTTATACATTGGTTCACTGAAGCATAATATGAGGATCGTTTCAATGAATAATGCAGTAGAACATGCACTCAAAACTATGAAGATGAAATTAGGTACTTTTTGGATTTATTTTTGAATAAGGCAAAAGTTAGACAGTTTTTCAATTCATTAGGGAGTGAGTTCCATAGACTAGGTCCCTTTATTTGCATAGAGTGTTTACACAGATTAAGTTTGACTCTGGGGATATCAAAGAGATATTTATGCCTGGTGTGGAGAGTATGTGTTCTATTACATCTGTCTAGGAAGAGTTTCAGAACAGGGTTTGCATTTAAGAAAAGGGTTATATAAATGTAATTGACACAAGAGAATGTATGGAGTGAATTTATGTTTAGCATGTTTAGGGATTTAAACAGTTGACCTGTGTGTTGTCTGAAAGCAGAGTTTGTTATTGTCCTGATAGCAGATTTTTGCTGGGTGATGATGGGCTTGAGGTAGTTTGCAGAGGTTGAACCCCAAGCACAGATACCATAAGTAAGATAGGGATAGATAAGTGCATAATAGAGTGAGAGGAGAGCAGAGTACATAATATCTGATCTTAGAGAGTATACCAACTGTTTTAGAAACCTTTTTAGTTATGTGTTGTATGTGGGTGCTGAAGTTGAGTCTCTTGTCTAAGTATAGGCCAAGGAATTTTCCATCATTTTTATTGCTAATGTTTACATTATCTATCTGAAGTTGAATTGCATTTGATTTGTCTCCAAATAAGATGTAGTAGGTCTTTTCTGTTTAGTGTGAGTTTGTCGGTTGACATCCACAAGTGGACTTTTTTTAATTCATTGTTTACAACATTATTTAATATGAGTGGGTTGGAGTCAGAGTTGATGAGAGTAGTATCATCAGCAAACAATATAGGTTTAAGCATATTAGAGACATTAGGCAGATCATTGATGTATATAAGAAACAGGAGGGGTCCTAGAATGCTGCCCTGTGACACCCCTACGGTTAGTGGTAAAGTAGGAGAGGTTATATCATTGATGGCTACATATTGGTGTCTGTCACTAAGATAGGATCAGATATAGTTCAGGGCATGGCCATGGATTCCATAATGGGGAAGTTTAAGTAAGAGGTAGTTATGGTTAACAGTATCAAAAGCCTTTCTCAGGTCAATGAAGAGTCCAATCGGAAACTCACTTTTTTCAAGGGCTGAGTAGATTAAGTCAAGCAGACTAACAATTGCATCATTGGTACTCTTTTGGGAGCGGAAGCCAAACTGACAGGGACTTAGTATATCAAATTTTACGAGATAGGAGTAGAGCTGTTTGTAAATAATTTTTTCAAATATTTTCGATAATAAAGGTAGATTTGATATGGGTCTGTAATTATTTATGTCTGCCATGTTACCTCCTTTATGAACTGGCATTACTCTTCCTTTTTTAAGGATATCAGGAAAAGTATGACACTCTAGAGATTTATTGAACAGCAAAGCTATGGGTGGTGCAAGGGTATGGGAGGTACTCTTGTATACCATCGATGGTATTTCACTAATGTTCCCAGCTTTGGTTTTTAGTGAGTGATTGATGGACACAACATCTGTAGGTATATGTAAACAATCTTCCAGAAGGTATAGACTCATTGAGACTTCCTCTCAATGTTTGCTGATGCAAAAATTATGAAAAGAATCAAGACAGATGAAGATGCAAACTTCAGGATGACCTGGACAAACTGGAGGAATGGTCTAGAAAATGGTTACTAAAGTTTAACAAGAGTAAGAGTAAGGTAATTAAAGTAGGTAAAGGGAACAGGAGGTTGAACACAAGGGAGGTGAAATCCTCCAAACGTCAACTACAGAGAAAGATCTGGGGGGTTGATATCACATCGATCCTGTCCCCAGAAGCCCACATCAAAAGGATATCATCAGTGGCATATGCTAGAGTGGCCAACATAAGAAAGAAACTTTAGAAACTTGTGTAAGGAATCATTCAGAACCTTGTATACCACATATGTCAGACCAATCCTGGAGTTTGCAGCTCCAGCCTTGACTCCATACCTAGTTAAACACAAGACAAAGTTAGAGAAGATTGAGAGGTATGCCACCAGACTGGTCTCAGAACTGACAGGTATGAGCTACGAGGAAAGGCTACAGGAGCCAAACCTCATGTCCCTGGAAGACAGAAGTGTTAGGGAAGAAATGATCTCCACAAAATTGTCCTACAAAATTCTCAGGAATTGACAGGGTAGATAAAGACAAACTACTTAGTATGGGAGAAACACAAACAAGTGGACACAGGTGGAAACTGAGTACCCAAATATCACATTAGAATTTTTTCAGTGTCAGAGTTGTTAACAGATGGAATGCATTAGTCAGTGATGTGGTGGAGGTGACCTCCATACACACTTTCAAATGTAGATATGATTTTCAAATTGTAGACATGTAGATACCAGTCCAATAGAATCAGGAATCTGTAAAGCAGTTGATTGACAGTTGAGAGGCGGGACCAAAGAGCCGAAGCTCAACCCTCGCAAGCACAACTAGGTAAGTACAAAAGAA